CATGGGCCCAGCTGCTCCGCGGCATGTGGGATCTTCCCGGACCGGGGCACAAACCCGTGTCCCCTGCATCGGCAGGCGGACTCTCAACCACCGCGCCACCAGGGAAGCCCAGGCTCTTGTTTTAGAAGAGTCTTCAAAGAAACCATTTAAGTTTCTCATCTTTTAGATGAGGTGACTGAGGCTCACATAGGAAATGGACTTTCCTTAACATTGGGGACCCTATTTTCTAAGTAAAAAGTATTGACTGACCTGAGACCTACTATTTAAAACTATTTTGATGTGGAAAATGCAGAATACAGGGCTGTTGTGTTAAGAATGTATAGTGAAATGGACAAATTAAGAGGAGATGCCTGACTCCCAGCCCGGGCCTTCTATCAACTCAAGCTACTTCTAAATGGCTGTGCCTTCTTACATTCAATGGGTCAAAAGATGACACCATTTATCCTGATGTGAAGCTACTACTCAGAAAATTGTTCAAGAGGAATGAATAATTTAAATTAATAACCTACTCAAAGGTCTGTGAATAATTTTTTTCCCACAGTCCAATCCCAGTGGATTAGTCATAACCCCTGGAATGTTGGTTTGAAAAAGATTCTGAGGCCATGTCAAAATTCCTTGGGAACAAGAGCCTTGATTGATAAGTGGTATCTGGAATGGACAAAGGAGGGCAACGAAAGCGCTAATGTCTGATCCATTTTTGTATCATTTATGAACTAAAGGAAGAATTTTTACCACTCGACTTCAACCAGCATGTAGCACAGTGCTTTGTGTATGGTAGGCACTGAGTGAGGATATGATGAAAGAAGAAAGGGAAGCAAGGAAGGAAGGAAGGAAGGAAGGGAGGGAGGGAGGGAGGAAAGAAGGGAAGGAAGGGAGGGAGAGAGGCACACAGAAGCAATCATAGTCATATAGTTTTAAAATTCTAATGATTAAATAATTAGGAGAAAACGTCTGCTGCACATCTAACTCACCCTCCGGGACTGGCTTTCCATAACATTTTCTTTCTTTTTTTGTTTTTGGTACGCGGGCCTCTCACTGCCGTGGCCTCTCCCGTTGCGGAGCACAGGCTCCGGATGCGCAGGCCCAGCGGCCATGGCTCACGGGCCCAGCCACTCCGCGGCATGTGGGATCCTCCCAGACCGGGGGAAGAACCCGTGTCCCCTGCCTGGGCAGGCGGACCCCAACCACTGCGCCACCAGGGAAGCCCCCATAACATTTTCTTGATGGAAGGGAAAGTGGGCCTTTTCTCTGGAGATTCACCCCAACATGCCTTCACCATGACCACCATCTTTTCATTTCCCTTCTCTCTGACAGGGAAGGTCGAAGCGGCGCTGACGCCCTGGGCTCCTTGATCTGGCTGCTGATTTCTGAAATCCATCTGGGGTTCAAGTAGCTAAATGTCTGAGCTTTGTGCCATTTAGGACACTTCACTTTAAACAGACATGTTTTTAAATTTGTAAATTGAGTTTTTAAGTAAACTGAACAGATTAGAATTTCAGAGAAATCTGAATATTTTACAAGAAATATTAGGAATCCTCCTGGAAAATGAGGACTCTAATGTAAAACATATAAGCACACCCTAATTAATCTTTTTTTTGATTAAGTTTTTTTCTAATAGAACTTTTCTTGAAATGAAGCATATCTCCACGTGATTTCAGGAGCGTATAAGCATTTGGTGTTAGAAATCCGCAAAGTGTTCTTTACGCAATTTGCATTCCATATAAAATGTTACATAAAAGTTATTTTAACAAACAATAAATGTTAACTACTACGTCCCACCTCTGTGTCCCACTTTGTAAACCTACTTTCTTTCACTTCCTCATTGGCTTCTACCGACATTTATTAAACATTCTGCTTAACCAGGTTTTGTAGAGGAAATAATATTTTGAGAACAATATATTTGTGTTTTGGTAAAAAGAACACTGTGGTGTAACAAAATGAATGAATCTTAAAGGTATTACTAAGTATAAGAAGCCAGTCTGAAAAGGCTACATACTGATTCTGTTTACATGACATTCTAGAAAAGGCAAAATTATGGAGGCAGAAAATAGCTCAGAGGCTGCCAGGAGTTTGGGGAGGAGAAGAAGTTGATCAGGGGAAGCACAGGGGATTTTTTAGGGTCATAAAATTATTCTGCACGACATTGCATTGGTGGATCATGACACCACACATTTGCCAAAAGCCATAGGACTTTACAGCACAAAGAGCGAACCTTAAAGAATGCAAATTAAAAAAAATATCAGCTGGGAGATTGGACAACTGCAAGACAGAATGCAGACTGTGACAAAAGAATCTGTTTTACAAATGTGTGACCTAATCTCATTGAAGGGGATGGGGGTAGAGTGCCGACGTAAGTAACTTCTGAAATAACTAGAGATGGTGAGACTAAAGTCAAAAGGAACTACTCGAAACCACTCTACTCCAGTTGGTAGAATCGCCTCTCAGGGAGGTACAGATGAAGAACTCTGAAACGACTGTACGCAAATACTGGGATTGAACAAATAAGTAAGTGGATGGCAGATGGTGGGAGCCAGGATTCTCGCTGTTGGAAAGGGAGGTTATGGATCAGTGATGGGCAGAGACTAAAGTAAATGAAACATGTGATAACGACATTGGAGATGTCACTATGAACCCATGTTTAGCTTAATACAGATACAGATGGGTAGATAGAGATAGGAATGTGTGTATACATAGGGGTTAGTATATACCCACATATTATCTTGCTCTGTCCATGAGAGGGGCTAGAAGCAACAGCATCCCAGCAGCAACAAGCACATCTAGTGTCCAGGTGTTCATTCTCCAATACAGGAGCCAGGGCTTCTTAAGAGAAGCAGCTGAGGGGCTTCCCTGATGGCGCAGTGGTTGAGAGTCCGCCTGCCGATGCAGGGGACACAGGTTCATGCCCCGGTGCGGGAAGATCCCACATGCCGCGGAGCGGCTGGGCCCGTGAGCCATGGCTGCTGAGCCTGCGCGTCCAGAGCCTGTGCTCCGCAATGGGAGAGGCCACAACAGTGAGAGGCCCGTGTACCGGGGGGGAAAAAAAAAAAAGAGAAGCAGCTGATTCTAGTATTGGAGCAGGGAAAATACAAGATGAGGCTAAAGCGTCTTATACCACCAGAAACTAAGGAAGCACAAAACAAAACACTGCCATGGGTGTATATCAAAGTACACAGAAGCCAACTGAAATGAAATGGTCAAAGATAAAACATTTTGAGCCACAAAATAAATAAAGAAGTATTAGATTATAACTCAAAATATAAAATTACTATATAATAAATTATATATAAATATCATAAATGAAATATAATAGGTAATTGAATGGATAAATAAATGGGAGAGAATAGACAAACCTGTAGAAATAAATTCCAAATAATTTATGTAGATATTTCTCCATTCAAGGTGGTGGAGCAAACACCCCCGTTCTTAGGTGAAGATTTCACATCGTGACCTCTTTCTTACCGGGACAGTATAGGAAGAGGGGAAATCAAGTCTCAAACGTTAGTGGGCATCAGAATCACCTGGGGAGCTAATTAGACACAGACCCTGGGCCCACGCCTCACCCCACCTCTACCCCCAGTTTCCAGTTCAGAAGGTCTGCAGTAAGGCCTGAAACGTGATTTTCTAACAGGTTCCCAGATGATCTGCTCCTACTGGTCGAGGGGCCACGCTAGGCCAGTGCTCCGCAGACTGTGGATCACCTGGGATCTTGATAGAAAAGCAAATTCTCAGGCCTGACCCCAGACCTACTGAGTCAGGAACCCTGAGGATGGGACCCAGCAATTCTGTTTGAACAAGCCCTCCAGGTGATTCTGATGCCCATTAAAACGTTTGAGAACCATTGGTCTAGTGTGCGCAGAGAATCCGTACCGTTTCCAGTACCAGGATTGTTGGCAGGGGTGTATGGGAAGTTAATGGAAGGGTGTGTTTCTCCATAAATTAGGTGCACGTCGTACTTCTCCTGGTTGTGGTCCTGTGTATCTATCGTCCCCTGTGACCAGCTCTCATTTACCCTGGTGAGCAGAGGACTACAATGAGGGGGAAATATACAGATTGTTCACAGCGTTCCCACACCTTCCCCACCCACCCCCACCCCCCGTTGGCACAATCACATGGCAGCTGAGCTTAGCAAGTGTAGGTGGGCTCCTGCCTGGGTTCAGTGGAGGGAAGATGTGTCTAGCTGCTGGGTTCCAAATTCAGATGCCCCTGGATCTGAGATTAACCTTTTAGGATGAGTCTCACGTCTGCTTCATTTAGCCACAGATTAGAATCAGAATCTGCTTTCAAAGCAACTAGCACACTCAGAAAGCCTCCTGACTTGAAAAAGTCTCCAGGGAATGCATGATGCTCTGAAGATGAGAGTTGGGATAGGCCCCTGGGGATGGGCTAGAAATGGTAGGCAAGGCAATAAAAAAGAAATGACGGGAAAAAAATCAAGAGAGAAGAGCGGGCTGGGTTTACATAGAAACACACACACACACACACACACACACACACACACACACACACACACACTTCCCTATCCTCTCTCCAAGATAGTGGTTCCCCACCTGAACTGCATGTTAGAATCACCTGGGGAACTTTAAAAACCCGGACGCCCAGGCCATACCCCAAACGAGTGACATCAGATTCTCTGAGTCTAAGATCCAGGCCTCAGCAGTTTTTAAAGTTTCCCAGGAAATTCCAATGTGCAGCCAAAGCGGAAATTAAAAGTGCCGGGGGTTCCACCTGCTATACATTTTCTTATCAATTTTGATCAAATTTTGCTTCACCTCCCATTGCTTTTGCCCTTAATTCCCTCATGGAATGTGTTAAGAGACAACCTGGCCAAAAAAACAAAAAAAAAACCAAACCTGAATATATCCTTTGTAAGTAGAAAATTGGACACCATTTATCAAAAATTTTAAATATGTTTAAAATACATTTACCTTGGGCTTCCCTGGTGGCGCAGTGGTTGAGAGTCCGCCTGCCAAGGCAGGGGACACGGGTTCGTGCCCCGGTCCGGGAAGATCCCACATGCCGCGGAGCCGCTGGGCCGGTGAGCCATGGCCGCTGGGCCTGCGTGTCCGGAGCCTGTGCTCCGCAATGGGAGGGGCCCCAACAGTGAGAGGCCCGCGTATCGCAAAAAAAAAAAAAAAAAAAAAAGTGAATCAAATACATTTACCTCTTCAATTTCATGAACAGAAATCTATCCTGAAGGAACATTCACACATGCCCACAAAGATACAAGACTGCTCAGCGCAGCAATTTGGAACAGCAAAAAATGGAAAACAGTCAAAATGTCTATCAATAGATAATATATGACATAGCCTTACAATGACAAATTTTGTAGTCCTTAAGAAAGAATAAGGCAAATTTGCATATACGAATATGAGGTAAGAGATACCCAGAGAGAGGCCACAGCATGAGATCTTCTTGGGTTATCTGGGTGGGTCCTAATCGAAGGACAAGTGTCCTCATGGGAGACATAGAGAAGAGATCTATACAGAGAAGGCAGCAATGTGAAGATGGTTCTACATAGACCTACATGGCCACAAACCCAGGGACGCTGGGGCAGCCACCTTGGAAGAGGCAAAGAATGGATCTTCCCTAGAGCTTCTAGAGGGAGCTCAGACCTGCTGAACCTTGATTTTGAACTTCTAGCCTCTAGAACTGTGAGAGAATAAATTTCTGTTGTTTCAAGCCAGCAGGCTTGGGGTTGTTTGTTACGGCAGCCCTAGGACACTAATATAAGTCATAGAGGCCCCATCAGAGGCCTCCAGTGATCTTCCAGGCTATTGTAAGGACTTAGTTTTCACTCCCCAAATGGGAAGTCAAGGGAGGATTTTGAGTAGAGAAGTGACACAATCTGACTCATTTTCTAACAGAACTGTTCGGGCAGCTCTTCTTGAATAAATTATATAGTTCTGAGTTTCTTGATTTTTTTTTTTTTTTTTGGTAACCAAACTGCAATTTGTCTTCTAATTATTTAAAAAAATATGAATGTTAAAAATAAAAGAATGGAATAGATTCTAAATTAATAAACATTTAACAAAACAATAAAAACAAGCACTTAAAAGCTAGCCCGAATGACCAAAGCCGGCCAAGGAGTCTCTCCCAGCTTTACCCTCTGGTGCCAGGTTTAGATCATCAAAATGTTCGTGGTCCTGGTGGTGGATCAGCTCCCTCATCAGGATGGCAAAGCTGTAAACGTCTCCCTTCAGGGTGCCCAACAGGGGCACCTCTGGGAGCCGTCCAGCAGAGCTCTGCGAAGCCGAGGATGTCAGCTGCCGGGTGGAACTGGAAAAGCCGCTCCTTTTTTCTCAGGGAAGCACAGGAGCAGTGAAAGCATCCAGCCCCTGAGAAGTCAGCCCTGATGGTTCTAGACTTTCTCCATATTCACACACTTGGGGGTCCGTGTGTGTGAATAGGGAGGAAATAATCAGGATGATCCTGCCCTAACATGTTAACAGCACTTAACTCACAACGGTGCAATCGCAGGTGGCTTTCCTTTTCCTTTTCCCTTTCTATGTTGCCTACAGTAAAAAAATGATTTAACAGTTCATAGAACATAAAACTAACCACTTGAAAGCGAACAATCCAGTGGCCTTTAGTACACCGGCAATGTTGTACAACCACCACCTCTACCTAGTTCCAAAACATTTCTAACACCCCAAAGTAAAACCTTGAGCCCGTTAAGCAGTTTATCCCCATTTCCCCCACCTCCCATGTCCTGCCAACCACCAATCTGCATTCTGTCTCTACAGATGTATGTATTCTGGATAGTTTATAAATCTACATTTCTTTGGCAGTGAGGTTTACAGGTTTATATCATTATAGGTTATAATCATGAAAAGAAAATATATTGGGGGATGGGGAGATAGAAGTGGCTGCTAGCAGGTTTTCAAAATTTCCCCCTTTTGCCTTTCTCTGCAAGATACCATCCTGCCCCCATATTATAGAAACCTCCCCATGTACACACAGCGAAGCTGCTGGGAGTGTGCTGCTTCAGAGACAGGCAGTCAAGGTGGAGGGCACTGGGCTCATCAGGGCCCAGGACAGTGCAAGGTGAGACTCAGGAGTGTTCAGTAACTTGGACAAGTAGGAAGAGTCGTAGAGTCTCAATTCGCGCACGTGTAAAGGAGGGTTGGACTCCGGGCGGTGGGTCTGATCTTGAGATGCCCATCAGAATCACTTGAGAGGCTTTTAGAAAACAATACGAAGACTTCCCTGGTGGTCCAGTGGCTAAGACTCCATGCTCCCAATGCAGGGGGCCCGGGTTCGATCCCTGGTCAGGGAACTAGATCCCGCATGCACACCGCAACTAGATCCCACATGCATGCCTCAACTGAGAGTCCGCATGCTGCAACTAACACCCAGTGTAGCCAAATAAATAAGTAAACAAACAAACAAACAAATAAATAAAATACAGATGCCCAGACCTCTTCTTCATAAATTCTGATTCAGTTGGCATGGGGTGGGACCCAGCCCCTTGCATATTTTTTAAAGCTTCTCAAGTGATACCGGAGCGCGGAGAGGTTGGAGAACTACTGAGCTCATCATCTGTAAGGTGCCTGGCAGGTCGCGCTTTCTCCGCTGAGAGCACAGGGTGAAGACGTGAGGAGACACAGGGGACTGAAGAGAAGGGCAGTGACTCACTTCAGGTCACCCAGCTAAGCCAGGGTGGGAACTAGTCTCCTAACTCAGACACCCCACCATGGACTCGTGCCACTCGTGGGCGTTATTTTTTCCTCATCTCCTTGGGTGGCTGGAATAACCACATACCATCAGCCCCAGAGGGAGGCCCACCTGCAGGTACCCATGCACGTGAGCCTCAGAAAGCAGAGGTGGGATAAGGAGCCCTTTACCCCTCTCCTGACAGCTAGTGGGTGCAAGACCTGCCAACGGTTACCGGAGCGGTCCGTCGTTCTCTCGTTGTATCTTCTGTGCGTCCGGCCATATTTGAGTTCCCTCAGCCCAAATCCTGACAGCTTCACCTGCATCCGTCTGTCCACCAGGCAGCTGGAAGGCTTCAGGTTGCCAAGGGATCCCAGTGGGCTCCTGTGGAGGAACAGCAAGCCCTGAAGAGTGGAAATGAGCAAATGAATCAGAGCAGGTGCCAGCGGACGCTGCTGGAAGAAACAGAGACACAGCGGCAGATGGACAGAAACAGACAGACCCATGGCGGGAGACATGCCCATCTTCACGTTCATTTGTTCAAGAGCCACTAACACAGCCCCTCGCCCAGGGGGTCACCCTGGGCAGGAACACCCAAAAAGGAGAAAACTATTTCTGGCCCCTCCATGTGGAGCCACAAACGCAAGGCCAGCTTAAAATAAATGTAGCCTCGTGGTCAGACTCCTGGGTTCAAATCCCAGCTCTACCACACAGTAGAGGGCAAGTTACTTTTCCCTGTAAGCCTCACTCTTCTTGTCAAAATGGAGATGACGATAATCCCTCTCGGGGTGGCTGTGGAGATTAAATGTCATAATACCTGCGAACCACCAGACATGGTGCCTGACACAGAGTAAAGATGGCTACAAATCATAATGAAAAATTTGTATGAATATAATAAAGGATATCAACAATCTAGAAACGACACTATGCAATTAAAATATTATTTTATTACCTACATATTGAGGATTATATTCCATTACTATCTACATAGAATGGTTCTATAATAATAGAATATTATATTTATTACATGCACTTAAGGGTCCTGTTTGAGCACTTCACAGGGAGAGGCAATGAAATGAGGAACCCTGAAACATTCTCATGTCATTCACTGTGTTCTTAAGAGGTTACGTTAATTATTTGTATGCAGTAATGAAGCACTATTATTTATAAAGAAGACAGAACAAACTCTAGAGTCAGAAGAAGTGTTCAAGTCTAGACTTCACCAGTCAGTCTCTTCAAACAAATCACCTGGGGGCCTCGATTTCACCATCCGTGAAATGGGTCTGCCTTAGACGCCTGCTACTTGAAAGATGTCCCAGGGAACAGCAGCAGCAGCAGCACCTGGGAGCTTGGCAAAAATACAGAATCTCAGGCGCTGCCCAGACCTACTGGATCAGTCTGTGCATTTTAACCCGATCCCCAGGAGATGCGTGTGCTTATTAGTCTGAGAACACCTGTCCTTGTCAATTGTTCCCAGCCCTGGCTGCACATTAAAATCACCTGGGGAGCTTAAAAAGACTATATCAATGCTAGGGCCCAGATATAAGAACCTATGCAAGCTGCAGATTACCTCCCACACAAACCAAGCCTGCGTGCGGAGGTGAGTGATCAGAATGGAGGAAGAGGGCTTAATCTGAAGGCTGGCTGAGGGAGCTCCGTCCTCAAGGCAGTGATGATTCTTATTTAGCAAGGAGATGAGGGCGGGGGGTGGGGATCTCTCACAATGAAGGAACTCAGGGTTTTAAACTGCTCCCAGGGAGTGGGGACAGAGCTGGGAGACAAACCCAGGTCCAGTCGCCTTTGAAGCCCAGCCACTTCTAAACCACTAGTTTTACTGTTTCTGGTGCCCTGGGTGACTGTAAGAGGAAGGTGGGGGAGGAAGAGGGTAGGTAGAAGCATACCTATCCTTCTGGCACCACTGCCAGGTTAAATGAACCACAAGTCCAGCTGAGTCACACGGTGTGGTTACGAGAAGTCATCGGCCCTCGGTACCCAACAAGAAGGAATGTGAGGAGGGCCCCTGAACGGACTATTGCACCCAGAGGCCTCCTGGGCACCAGCTCTGGGACTCACCTCTTCCTCCAGCAGTGACGACAGGCTGAATCATTGTCAGCTTTAGCAAGAACCCTGAGCTAATATTGCATTAGAAATACAGGCTAATACAGAAAGCAATAAGGAAACATTCGGGACAGTGGGTACACCAGGCCCACCTCACCCCCTAAAAAATCAGGAGGCCGTGTTCCCTTATCAATCTGCGTATTTGTTTTTTGAGGTGATAAAGTTGAATCACATTTTGGAAACACAGCTCACTTAATCAGACAGGAAGGGCCTGGGTGGGGCTCCCTCTGGAATGTTTCCAGCGAGGTTCCAACAGGCTGAGAGGTCTGGTCTTGAAATCTGGGGAGACCTGTGTCCAAGCCAGAGTTTTCTCTGACCTCACGGAGACCTTTCCATTCCACAGGAGTCTCCCTGACACACACGACTGTCCCTGCCCTTGCTAGTGCCAGACTCACCCCTGGCATGAGACGTTCTACATTCCGGTCGCTGCTGACCACCCCTGACATCCAGGTATATTAGCGGAGCTCCTTCCATTAGGACAAAAATAACATGTTTCGGGATGCTTGGAATCCTAGGAATGTAGTCCTCTGCAAGAGATGGCACACATCTCTTTGTTTGTTTGTTTGTTTGTTTTTGGGGTTTTTTTGCGGTACACGGGCCTCTCACTGTTGTGGCCTCTTCCCGTTGCGGAGCACAGGCTCCAGACGCACAGGCTCAGCGGCCATGGCTCACGGGCCTAGCTGCTCCGCGGCATGTGGGATCTTCCCAGACCAGGGCTCGAACCCATGTCCCCTGCGTTAGCAGGCAGATTCTCAACCACTGCGCCACCAGGGAAGCCCTCTTCTGTTACTCTTGGTCCCCTTTCAGCGAAGGTTGGCATTGCAGCTTCCTTACAGGATCCCATAACGTGTACACTCCATTTCAGGAGATAGCGAGCCTACCAAAGCAAGGTGTCAAGCTGTCCTCTGTCCTGGCATGTAGTGGAGGATAGATTCAGTGACCTAGAATAGCTGATGACCACCAGGGAGATTTTCCCCTTCAAAGTGTCATTCGCACCCACCCCAGCATTTCTCCAGAGAATCCTTCGAGTCAATTCTTTTTTTTTTCTTTATTCGAGTATAATTGCTTTACAATGGTGTGTTACTTTCTGCTGTATAACAAAGTGAATCAGCTATACATATACATATATCCCCATATCTCCTCCCTCTTGCATCTCCCTCCCACCCTCCCTATCCCACCCCTCTAGGTGGTCACAAAGCACCGAGCTGATCTCCCTGTGCTATGCAGCTGCTTCCCACTAGCTATTTTATATTTGGTAGTGTATTTATGTCCATGCCACTCTCTCACTTCGTCCCAGCTTACCCTTCCCCCTCCCCATGTCCTCAAGTCCATTCTCTACATCTGCATCTTTATTTCTGCCCCTAGGTTCTTCAGAACCGATTCTTTTTTTTTTTTTAGATTATATATATATATGTTTTAGCATACGGTATTTGCTAACACATATATATGGAGTCAATTCTTGAAAGCAAAATGCCTCCACTGAAAAGCCTAAATCTACTAGTCATTCACACCATGGTGAGAACTTACTAGCTTTCTCTTTACATCCAATATAAATGATGCCAACTGTTTTGACTGGGTGGGAGACAGATCACCAGAGACTAGAGCACTTCCCTGGGCTTGGTGGGAAGGGAGGGAAAGTGGGTGAGGGGAAAGACAGAGGAGCCCAGAGGAGCAGAGGAGGAGAGGATGCCAATCACATCCTCCTATTTTACAACCATTCCACCGCCACTTAAATAATTTCTTATGTACACTTCATGACTTTTTTTTTTTCTCTAGCTTAACTTTAAGCCATTCAAAGATGGAAACAAGTCCTTCTCTTCATATGAAAGTACCCAGAGTATGACAAACCCTTAAAAGACACTCAATAAAGTTTTACTGAAATAATGAGTGGTGGCCCAGGGCTGTCGTCAGAAACCAGTCCCAGAGAGGTTTCTGTTTGTTTTCGTCTCCTGGTAACAATACACTGGCTTCCCACTAAGGCCTGGGAAGTCAAAGCTTAACAGGGCCATTAAGACTCAGCTCCTTACACACAAAGAGCAATCAAATTCTTGAGGAAGAAAACTCCTTCGACGTCCATTAAACCTACGTGGAGGCTGAGTAATAATAATAACAACAACAATAATAGCTAAAATATATTCGGTACTTATTTCGGCTCAGATACTTTCTAGCACTTTGTGTATATTAATTTACTTTATTCTCACAACAAAATATAAGGTAGCTCTATTATTATCCCTGTTTCACACGTGGGAAATGAGTCGGGTGGGCCATATCAGTAGGGACTAGCATTCTGAGGATGCTCTCCTCAGCCTGGGCTAAAATCCAGCTGCTCTTCTAAGCTCACCGCATCTGCGGTTACCATTAGAGGGGAAGTAACTTACCAGTCATTCAAGGAGTCACTGGCCCTAAAACCTAGGAGGGCAGAGTTTACATTTCACCCATGTACCCCTCGCAGCACCCAGGCAGGGTCTTGCCCATAGGAGTCTGTCAGTTGATGGATGGGAATGTTGACTGATGGACGGACTGTTGATTGACAGATGACAACCAGCCTTGTCCTGCTGCCATGTGTCAGAGTGAGTGACTTCCCCACCAGGACCCATTCCCAGGTCATTAGCCTGGTCCCCTCAAAAACACTAATAGCATTTGCTCTTTACACGGGTTTATGTGATACTCGCGTTAACTCTGTCATATGCAAATGAGAGCTTGAATATCTAATCAATTTCATTGCCTGAGTTTCTCAAAACATCCTAGAAAACACAATTACTTGGAACATCACCAGTGACTCAACCAGAAGCACAGTGATCTTCGCGGGTTCAGTGGATTTGATGCTAATGCTTTGGATGGTGTCGAGCAGAAATGATACAGCCTGAGGCAGAGGGCTCTAAATCTGGTGACCGGAACTCTCCTCGGAAGAAACCATAACCTGACTCAATATTGAGAAAGTTACGCAGTCTTGAGTTTTACAGATACTTCCTTGTTCCTGACATGAAGCTGGTGGTCACATGCCATGGGAAAGATGGGCCCAGGAACAAACTTCAGATGTAGATATGACATCGTAGGAGATGAAACCAAGCTCAGACAATTTCCCAGAACAAAGAGACCAGACACGTGGCAACTGCGCTGCTAATTTCATCCCCTGCGGGCAGCCCAGCAAGATAATTCAGGTCTCGAAATTAAACCAGAGAGGAGCTGTTCTTGGATGAAGAGGCAAAAGCACTTATAAGCTTCTTTATTAGCTGCCGCTAATCTAACCTGAGGTAAGATTTACCGGGCTTCCCTGGTGGCGCAGTGGTTGAGAGTCCGCCTGCCGATGCAGGGGACACGGGTTCGTGCCCCGGTCCGGGAAGATCCCACATGCCGCAAAGCGGCTGGGCCTGTGAGCCACGGCTGCTGAGCCTGCGCGTCTGGAACCTGTGCTCCACAACGGGAGAGGCCACAGCAGTGAGAGGCCCGCGTAACGCAAAAAAAAAAAAAAAAAAAAAAAAGATTTACTATTTTACTTACCTTAAGCCTTCCTCTTTTGCAATATTGGGTGACAATGCAGATGTTGGGTGATTCTGTGCAAATACCAAAGAAGGGAACAAAGTTTTCATGCCTTAATTCATACATCTGAAAATGATAATAGTAATAATAGCTTATGATTATAATGTGTCTTCTGCCCTAGGGACAATGTTGTGTGCTTTACACACTTTCAGCAATTTTTCACAAAGACCCTGTGAGATAAGAACTATGACTGCTCCCATTTTACAGATGAGGAAACTGATGCTCAAAAGATAAATTAATGTGTTAAAGATCATACAACTTAGTAGTGGCAGAGCTGGGAGGTAAATCCAGGCAGTCTGCCTCCAGCAAATAAACCAGTCATGATCAAAGTCCCCCAGAGTCATGATCAAATTTCCCCAAAGTCACGGGGATTAACTGAGGAAGTGGACCCCATGAGCCTGACTCCCCTGCAAGGACCAGCTTCGAGAGAGACAGCTACAGACACAAAGAATGAAGAGGCAGAATTAAGGCCAGGAAGAATTAAAGGCAAAGAACAGGCTAGGAGAGCTCCCAGGATGCAGGGGCCTGGGTCAGGCATAAGCGTCTGAGGTCTAAAGTCTGGGCTCTTGGCGGGTGGGGGTCATGGGCCAAGTTAAGGGAAGCAGCTTCCCACCATTGTCCTTTGGGGTGAAGGCCACCCGCACCCCAGGTGGGAACAGGGAGCTGGCAGAGGCAAGGCAGAGGGCAGCAAGGCTTTGCCTCCTCCCAGGGCTGGGGGCCTCACCAGCCGGATTTCCTGCAGCACAGACGGCTTCCTGACCCAGGCTCGCGCTTGGGTCACCAGCATCACAGATGGCCACATGGTTTTCCTGGAACCGGAGACAAAGAGGAATGTTCCTTTTTTTTTTTTTTACATCTTTATTGGAGTATAACTGCTTTACAATGGTGTGTTAGTTTCTGCTTTACAACAAAGTGAATCAGTTATACATATACATATGTTCCCATATCTCTTCCCTCTTGCGTCTCCCTCCCTCCCACGTTCACTATCCCACCCCTCCAGGTGGTCACAAAGCACCGAGCTGATCTCCCAAAGCGGAATGTTCTTAACCCAGGCTGATTCAGAAAAAGCTACACTCAGAAAGAGCTAGGAAGGGGGGCAGGAAGACTGGCAAGAAACCCACCTACAGAAGGGATCATCGAGCTCCTCCCTGCTCAGATCAGCCCTCGGGTGGCCCCGTGCTGTGTCCAGGAGCCGAGCTAGCTGCTCAACACAGCAGACCTCATTTAACAGGCAGCACAGCCCTGCAAGGCGGGGGGGGGCAGGGGGGTGATTAGCCCATTTCCAGATGGGATCCCTGAGGTTAGGGAACTAGTTCAAGGTCACACATCTGTAGGTAGTACAGCCAGAATTTGAACATCTGCATACAGCCACTCTGCCCTCAGAATTACCCGGTAAAGCCCTACTGGGGCATGAAATAGCTCTCTGCCCTGCTGGTTCTCAACAAAGGAGCTTAAGTCCCCAGAAATCATCACACTAGATGAGTTACTGTTGTTCCCTCTCGACACAGGTGTGCCTCTCTGGGATGGCTGCGAAACAGGACACGATTCAGGTGCTCTCAGTAGGATGACCAAGTACCGATGAGACTACGCCTTTTATAGATGAGGAAAATTAGCGCCAAGGTTAATAGCAGTTAGTAAATGAAAGTCAGGACTCAAACCCTGATTTCTCTAACCCGAAGTGTGAGTGCTGAACTGCTACCCGCACCACTCTCGTGTCTGTGCCAACATCACAATGTCGTGGTTAAGACTCTGGGGTCAGGCTGCCCAAATTCAAGTGCTGGCTTTGGCCCTTAACTAGATGGGTGACCTGATGACACAGTCATTTTCCTCAATGAGCATCTAAGGAGGTGAACTCTCTGTGTAACACTCCCAGTGCCTCCCCAGCACCTAGAGAATATATTTTAAACAGAGGAGCCCTGTTTTTCTAGAAGAGTCTAATGTAGAAGCCTAATGTAGAAAACAGTAGCTCAAAGCAGAGCTGCTGTAGTTGAAGAGGAAGAGACTCAGAATTCCTCCCCACCACCTCTACCGCATTCCATCATTCACCCAAGGCCAGACCAGTGAGCCCCAGAATCCCCTGGGACACTTGAAGAATAATTTACAAACGAACCCCAGTCTCCTGGTCATAGCATGTTGAAGCCTCCTTGACTTGGTACCTGCCAAGTCACCTTTTTTTCTTGAAAGTCGTAATTCACTTATTCAGTGAATAGTATATGGAAAGATACCAATAAAAGGAAACATACTATAAACTACAATTTTGAAAATAAAGCCAATATAATGGGAACAAAATACACGTAACGTGAGAAGAATGTTTGATTGTTGACCCATCATGCTTTCCTTACTTTTATAATGAACCTAAATGTCTTTAGAACAAACCTGTATACCTTGGTCTAACTTGAGTGCTTTCTAACAAGCAACAACATTCTAGAACACTTTTCTTTCGCTTTGAGATATTTAAGATTCACACATTTGTTCAAAAACATAAATTCTGATTCAGTGGTTGATCTGCATATCTTGTTATTCTCTGGATATCATGAGTAACGTGGATTCCTGAACAAGCACTATATGAAATTCTAAAATTCTTGATCTTTGACGTAAAATTTATTTCAGTTGTGGGTTGTTTTTTTTTTTTTTTTTTTTTTGCGTTATGGGGGCCTCTCACTGTTGTGGCCTCTCCTGCTGCGGAGCACAGGCTCCGGCCGCGCAGGCTCAGCGGCCATGGCTCACGGGCCCAGCCGCTCCGCGGCATGTGGGATCTTCCCAGACCGGGGCACGAACCCGTGTCCCCTGCATCAGCAGGCGGACTCTCAACCACTGCGCCACCAGGGAAGCCCCAGTTGTGGGTTTTTAATCACTTGAGATGAAAGCAAAATTCACCCCCTCCCTCCACCCCCCCTCCCAGGAACAAAGAGCTCTTATTAAAGTATAGAAACTTGGGTCTATCTTTCTACTCTAAAGAACAATTCTCACTAACCTTTCTGGGAAGGCAGTAAGTATTCCAGAATAATCAATATATGCTTGCAAAGATTATATCAACAACAAAAGCAAAACAAAAAAGGAAAGAAAGAAAAGAGACTTCAAGCTTAAGATATGCATAAAAATAGTCATGGCTATATTTTCTAGAATTATGTAACTGTTATATACTTATCAAATAATGTCATGCTTATTAAATGTGTGCCCAGCTTCACAGCCCTGAGAAGCCCTCAGCATACCCTGCGTTACTTCTCTCCTGGTCACCACTAGCGAACCCACTCTCCCCAGATGTCACCTCTTCTCTGAAGCCTTCATGATTCTGTGACATTCAATCCCTCTACCTGCGGGGTTTCTGCCTCAGCTTGTAGACACCTCCCAGAGCACTTACTTCCGTCGGAAGGCATCCATCTGTGGCGTGCCTTGCACTCTGCTTGGCCTGCAGTAGACAGGCAACACGTGTGTGTTGAGCAAATGAATTATATGGTCTTAGTTATCAGTAGTTTAAAGGAGTTAATGCGGTTTTGAAAATAACTAAATGCTCCCCAGGAGACAGCGTTAATATTTGAACAGGATGTATGGGTTCTTCTACCCACCAGGGACCAGGGCTGAAGGAAACTTCAGAAGCCATCTGATCATTTTTAAGTATTCAGAAACTGAGGCTGGGAAATTATGTTCCCAGCCAAAAAGTGGTAGTTCCAGAACCGGAACTCAGGGCCTAAGACTCTCCATTAAGAGCTCACTTTCTAAATGAGTCAGCCTCCGCCCCCACAAGCTCCTAGATCAGGTCCCTTCCACGCATCACCAGCAGTGAGCAGGAAGGTGGATGTCTGGGCCAGGCGTGGCCTCACCTTGTTCTGGGACAGAATGGTGATGTCATCATAATTGATTTGCCACCAAAGACCTTTATTTTGCCTCTGCAGTTTTTCCCTCTGTGTCCTTAAAATCAGACCTATGATGACAGCTCCCAGGTTGGTAATCAGGAGGGTTACGGTGAAAATCACAGCAGTCACACCTGGAGGGCATATCGTTACTCAGGCCCACCTAAGAGCACAAGTGAGCACATCCCGGCCCTGCCAAACAGATGGCTCAAAAGCCGCCCAGGCACGGGTCCAGGTTAGGGCACACAGCATCCACTCAGGCCTGTCTTTTCCAGGAATCCTATTGGGCCCCAAGTGCGTGGTCTTCCCACACCCCTCTGGTTCCCGCGGCAACTGCACTCACCTCCTCCTTATATAGAAACGTCCCTTGTAGAGAAAAAAAGGATGACTTCTAAGACCATCGCCACCTTTCATTCAACATTTACTGTGTGCTCTCCTTACACTTGTTCTCAGTTGTGATCCACCTCATTCCAGGCCTGGGCTCCTAACCACCAGGCAACACTCCCTTGTCCAGACTCTACCTCCACAGAAATGGAATTCCTGAGACTCAGATCTCAGGAGCCAGGTTTCCCCAGGGCAGAGGTTCTCAACAGGGGAGGCCATGACGTTGCCTCTCCAGGGGATATCTGGCAATGTCTGCAGACATTTGGGGCTGTTAGAGCTAAAGGGTGCTGCTGGCATCTAGTGGGTGGGGTGGAGGCTAGGGAGGCTGCTAGGCCTCCTACAAGGCACAGGACAGCCCCTTACACAAAAAGATGATCTCGTCCTAAACATCGATGCTGTTGCCACTGCTGAGAAGCCCTGTTGTAAAGAGTCCTTTCCCGCTGCCTTCTCCAGGTGGCCACACTGATCTGCAAAAGCAGGCTCAGTTTCACAGAGCTCATTGGCAAATCCACAGCCACGTCTGTCTTCGGGAAGGGAACCGTGGAGAAATGCCCCATGGGTCTTAAAAAAAAAGAAGACAATGAAAGGTCAGTGCCAACTTGATTTATTCAACTCGTCTCTACCTCAGGTATCGCAGGGGCAACTGAGACACACATGCCATTTGCAAAAAGCAGGCCTTGGTCTCTTCATTCAAACAGCTGCTGACCCATCCGGTTTTCCCACCTCACCAAGGTTCTTCAAACCTAGCCTACAGGTAATATAATTCATGAGAGAGCAATATCTTTTTGCTAGGTAGAACAACTGACTCGATCTTTTTTTTTAAACCATGTCACTTCTGATTTAAAAGATGAAGTGTCGATTCTCCAACGTTACTGTAGTTTTCTCCCGTGTTTGATACAGACAAATCTTGTTATAGAGCATCTTCACAGTTTACAGACCAAAATGTCACCCCTGCCTAGAGAATGCCTGTTCCTACAATACAGAGAACCTAGCTGGCCATGGTTGTTTTATTTCTTAGGGACATTATCCCCAAGAAATATCCAACCCATTCGGGGACATTAAAATTCCATAAGAGTAGGGGAGAGAAAAGTGTCAAGTCAAATCTGAATTGTGGGTGATGGCAGTGGGGGGCAAGTAGAAATTGAATTAAGTTTTATGTTCTCATGTAGTTGCTCACTGGTTTATAGCTGAGAGAACAGAAACAGAGATTTTTTTTTTCCCAAGGGATTTCTGGATACTGTGAGCCCAGGACAGCATCCAGGTCCTGGTGTCCCCCTGGCTGTCTGCATGAGTTGGTTTCACTGACTGTGAACCTGATCCTGTAGGAGGCGCTGTGCTCCATCATCGCCCAGGGCCAGGGCCTCTCCCTGAGACACTGGGGCTGTGGGACCTGCCCAGCTGGAGCATATGAGGAGGCCCAGGCCCACATGGAGGTGCAGGTAGGGATGCCGTGTTATAAGTGGAACCTGAAGTGGCTGAGCCACACCCACAGTCAAGGGCAAGACCACGTCGAAGGCCCAAAGTCTATCTTTATGAGTTTAGAGAGCAGCAGACAACTTGATTATAGGAGCTGGATCCCCAGCTGGCCTCCTAGCAGAACGACCGGCCCTTCCTCTCCTCCCAGGCCTCTTCCTGTAGCATGAGCTAAGCTAGGGAAAGGCCCTGCCATACCTGATGACTTCCTGATAGCTGTCATAATGAAGAAAAGGAAGAAAGAGGGACCCATCTGAGGATTTCTGTAGGGCATAGACCCAGTAATCCATGCGTCTTTCTCCCCGGGAGTCCACAAACACGGGGCCAGTGATTCCTGGAAAGAGAGGCACTTGCACACAGTAAAGGAGCTTGGGGCTCAAAGTGCCAGCCTGCCGAGTCCTATCAGAGGCATGCCCTCCCCAGCAGCTGCTGAAAGCCACCCAGGAGTCTTTTGCCCTTTCGGGGAATCTAAGAGGCAGTCAAGAAGGAGAGTGGGAAAAAAAGAAGATAGTTCAGAGGTGGTACCCTGGTGGGGCTCAAGGGCCACTTGGTTCTGTTAGGCCTACGCTGGGGAGGACCATCCAGCATTAAAAAAAAAAAGTTAAGCAGTTTCCAACTAATTTCACATAAAACCCAAGATTTATGCTTCCCAAACAATCAGATATGACCAATGGAGGCCGAATGACATGGCAGCGGTTGGCTGGGGCTGGGGACACTGCCTCCTCCCAGCCGCTACCATCCTACTCCCCCCACGTTCTCCACGCCGCCAGACCCTGGGACACGAGTTTGCAAGCTTTGTTCTCAGCATGGCCCTTCCTTCCCGGTTTTGGTTCCTGCTCAGGCATTGCGCTCAGACCTGGCCCAGGTGCATTCCTTGTTCTTGCTTAGGATGTGCCCTGCCCCCCACACGAAGGACACATCAGAGATCCCAGAGGAGTAAAGTACAGCAGTCCCACACCCCAAACTAGGACCCAAGGTCTGATCTAGGACTTATGATTTGTTCCCACTGGGGACAGGACAAAACATTAACATTCATAAGCTTCTGCTATGTGCCCAGCACTGAGGGCGGTAGTGATTTCACACATCTAGTCCCGGTTGACCCCACAGAGAAGGCACCATCATCCACTCCTAATAAGCAAGCAGGGCTTGGAGGCACAGACCCCTTGGAGTTTCCAGAGCCAGGAAGACACAGGTCTGTTGGGCCCCAAGTGCGTGGTCTTCCCACAGCCCTCGCTGCCTTGCTGTGCCCACTTGCTGGCATCCTGAATGTGGGGCTTGAGCACAGCTCCCTCCCAAGGTCTGCACAGGGAAAGGGCTGCAGCAAATGCAACAACCAGGGTTGAACCAGGAAATAAATTGATCTGACAGAGGGGATTAAACTGAGAGCAGGAAGACAGACTCCTCCCACTTCATCCCCTTTCTTAAAGCAAATGCTTCAGGGTCAGGAAGAAAAGAAGAAAGGGAAGCAAGTTAATATTTCCACTTGGAAAAGGTGTGGATGGGGTCATTGTAAACTGAATCTAGGAATGCCCCAAAGAGCAGGACTTGGCTGTCCTTTTGAAAATTTAGGATGAAGTTTAAGTCTTCATTTATTAAGGGAATGATAAGCCAAAGAAAAGATAACTACCTGCCATTTAATGAGCACATACTATGAGCCAAGCACTTCATATATTGGATTAGCCAAACGTTCATTTGCTCTTATCCGTAAGATGACTCTAGTAGCACTTAGTTGTCTTTAACTTCATTCGAAACAATTTTGTTAGATTGTATGTGACAGCTGTCATATCAGCGTTCATTTAGAAAAAGACATCAAAATTGGTGAATTTTTGTGTAGCCATTTGCATATTGAAGATGGAAAAAAAGCAACATTTTTGGCATATTATGCTTTATTATTTCAAGAAAGATAAAAACGCAACTGAAACATAAAAAAAAGATTTGTGCAGTGTATGGAGAAGGAGCTGTGACTGATCGAACGTGTCAAGAGCGGTTTGTAAAGTTTTGTGCTGGAGGGACTTCCCTGGTGGCGCAGTGGTTAAGAATCCACCTACCAATGCAGGGGACATGGATTCCATCCCTGGTCCGGGAAGATCCCACATGCTGTGGAGCAACTAAGCCCATGCGCCACAACTACTGAGCCTGCGCCCTAGAGCCTGTGAGCCAAAACTACTGACCCCATGAGCCACAACTACTGAAGCCCGCGCGCCTAGAGCCCATGCTCCACAACAAGAGAAGCCACCGCAATGAGAAGCCCACGCACCGAAACAAAGAGTAGCCCCTGCTTTCCGCAACTAGAGAAAGCCCGCGTGCAGCAACAAGACCCAACACAGTCCAAAATAAATAAATAAATACATTTATTTAAAAAAAAATAAGTTTCGTGCTGGAGCTTTCTCTCTGGACGATGGTCCACGGTCGGGTACACCAGCTGAAGTTGATAGAGATCAAATCGAGACGTTAAGTCAATGTTATATCACACGGGAGAGAGCCAACATACTCAGAATATCCCAATCAAGCATTGAAAATCATTTGCACCAGCTTGGTTATGTTAATCACTTTGATGTTTGGGTTCCACATAAGTTAAGCGAAAAAAACTTCTTGACCTTATTTCTGCATGCAATTCTCTACTTAAACGTAAAGAAAATGTTCGGTTTTTAAAACAAATTGTGATGGGCGATGAAAAGTGGATACTGTACAGTAATGTGGAACGGAAGAGATCGTGGGGCAAGTGAAATAAACCACCACCAATCACACCAAAAGCCGGTCTTCATCCAAAGAAGGTGATGTTGTGTGTATGGTGGGATTGGAAGGGAGTCCATTATTATGAGCTCCTTCTGGAAAACCAAACGATTAATTCCAACAAGTACCACTCCCAATTAGACCAGCTGAAAGCGGCACTCGACGAAAAGCGTCCAGAATTAGTCAACGGAAAACACATAATCTTCCATCAAGATAACACAAGACCACTTGTTTATTTGATGATCAGGCAAAAACTGTTACAGCTTGCCTGGGAAGTTCTGATTCATCCGCTGTATTCACCAGACGTTGCACCTTCAGATTTCCATTTATTTCGGTCTTTACAAAATTCTCTTAATGGTAAAAATTTCAATTCCCTGGAAGACTGTAAGAGCACCTGGAACAGTTCTTTGCTGAAAAAGATTAAAAGTTTTGGGAAGATGGAACTATGAAGTTGCCTGAAAAATGGTAGAAGGTAGTGGAACAAAAGAGTGAATACGTTTTTCAGTAAAGTTCTTGGTGAAAATGAAAAATGTGTCATTTATTTTTACTTAAAAACCAAAGGCACATTTTGGCCAACCCAATATTTTAATTACTCCTTGGTGTTACACAACAGTAAAGAACATGAGCCCTGGAGATAAAAACAGGCCTTATTTTGAATTCGGGCTCCACCATCTCGTAACTTTATGACCACGGGCAAGTAAGTAAATTTTCTACCCTGGGGTTACTCACCTGTGTAGTATATTATGGATAGTAATAGCACTACCTCATCGGTGGTGTGAGGATTAAATGAAATAGTGCACAGAAGCTCTTGGCACCCAGCTTGATATAAGGTAAGCCCTCAATAGATGCTGGTTATTATTATTAGATATGGCAGTATGTATTATCTCTGTCTCACAAAATAAAAAGCTGGAGTAGACCAAGATGACAGCCGTTGGCCAGCTCCCAGGGTGATTTCAAAACAGTTCACTTCCAAGCCTATCCTCACACCTGCAAGGAAAGTAAAATAGGATTGGTCCCATCCTCAGAGGCTGATGGTCATGATTCAGACAGGCACTGCATCAGAGAGGATGCAGGTTGTGGAGGATCATGGGAGTGATACCAGGAGGAGGGTCCCACCCTCTTGAGTTTTACTCTTGATGGGTTCGGTTTGAAAGGAGCTATGGGAGAGACTTTTCAGGGGCGGGAAGAGACCCCAGAGGCCCCCCACCTGGTCTGGGCAGCCTTCTGGACAGAGCAAAAAGAGCAGACGGTGGCCGCTGGGAGTTTTAACCTCAACAACACTTCCCAGAGGCCGGAATCTCCGTGAGAAAGCGGAATTCTGTAATCACACGCCCAACAACGCCAAGCCCCACGGACACAGCTGGCCTGAGTTCGGCAAACCTACCACAGTCAAGACACTTACCCGGCAAAGCAGTCTGATTGGAGCCTTTCAGAGTGATGACGAGCTGCCGCCCATCCCAGAAATCCCTTCTGGCCGTTATCATCTCCTTCACGGCCTCAGCATACAGCAGGACTGCATCGTGAAAGTAAGCAGGGTAACGGCTCACCTTGCATGAGGGAAGCAAAGGCCGGGTAGAAAAAGGCCCATGGTGGTACTGAACTCTCTTAGCTTTTACTTGTCTGTGAAGCTCTTGATTTCTCCGTCAATAAAAATTAATTAATTTCTAAAAAGATTAAAAAAAAAAAAAGCCCATGGCCTGCTACATCACAGTCCGGGCTCAGTTAGAAGCAAGCTTTCTCCATCCTCTTAACAGTGTAACATAGCACACGTTCTCCGTTATTCCACAGAGAAAGGAGGACCCTCCACGTATCCTGGCCTGTGCTGGTATACCTAGGTATCAGAGCTTCACTTTTCCTCTTTAGGCCTTGTTTTCTCAATTAGATTGTGTGATCTTTTGGGCTGTGAACAGCTTTTTAGGCCATAGGCAGGAGGGAATATGGTTTAATTGAAAGAGGGTGGATCTTGGAGTCAGGCTGGCCCTGGTACTTACTGTGAGACTTGGGGTAAGTTCCAGAACCTCTCTGAATCTCGGTTCATTCATTTATAAAATGCGGATAAAGCCACTATTGTGATGAGTATAAGGATAGTTAAATGAGGCAGAATAGGTATAGTATCATTGTACTAACTGGCACACAGTAGGTCTTCAATACTTCATTTAGTCAACAAAAATGCATGTGCCTACTAGACGCTAGGCACTGTTCTCCCCATAGAACCAGGTACGGAGCTGACACTTAGATGACTCCCCAAATATTCATTGATCCACCATCTTTCCTTGTGTGTTGGGATCCACAATCAGCTGCCTCATTCCTAATGGAACCCCTTGTTATCAGTAGCTTCTCATCGCCTTCAGGCTCAGCTTGGCCCCGCTCTGGCAGGAGCTCCAGATCTGGCCAATGGTCTAGTTAATCAGACATTTTGCCCCATCATCCCACACATACTGGAACTACCACTGGCTGATAGGCTCTCTCCCGGCTACCTTCTCAGAACATCTGCTTGCCCTGACCTGCCCTAGCTCCACATCTCTGACTACTCCATTCTGGTTCCTGGTCGTGGCATCCTGCTGGGAAAGGAGACTGTCATGGTCTGAGCACCCACTGGTATCTGTTCTGCTACTTCCATGTACTATGTCATTACATACTCAAAACCACAGTCTGGAAGGCAGATGTCATTATCAGTCCCATTTCTGGGTGAAGAGACTGAGGTGTAGGGAGGTTAAACAATTCATCTCAAAGCCCGGTAGGTAGTAAATAGCAGAATTAGGATGGAAGCCCAGGACTCCGACTCCAAAGGCCAACCGATCACTCATCTAGTAACCTCTGTCCTCCGTGTGGACCTGGGGTGCAGATTTCACAAGATCTCATCGGGCCACTGTTTATTTGGGGCTGTGGAAGATGAAGAAGTGTGTGTGTGTGTGTGTGTGTGTGTGTCTGTGTCTGTGTTAGGAGCCTGGGGAGCGGCCAAACACAGATATTCTCAAGGAAGGGAGGAGGGACCTGTGTAGGAAGACGCCCATCAGACCTGCTCCAGCATGTGGAGGGGGCCGTGGAAGGGCAGCCCCCGCAGCCTTCGGAGGACCAGCTCTTGGAAGCCTTCATCTCCAGGGCCTTCTCGCGAGGAGCTGAGGGCTGTGAGAATCACTGACTTGTAGACTAAGGGAAAGTGCATCACCTTCTGATTTGTCAATACCTCCTTCCAAAAACTGTCCTGAAAAATAATGAAATAAATGTAGCCATTCTGTAGGAAATACCCTAAGCAATAGTCAACATCAACTTTATTTATTTATTTATTTTTGGCTGCGTTGGGTCTTCATTGCTGCGTGCCGGCTTTCTCTAGTTGCCATGAGCGGGGGCTACTCTTCGTTGCTGTGCACGGGCTTCTCATTGCGGTGGCTTCCCTTGTTGTGGAGCACGGGCTCTAGGCCCGCGGGCTTCAGTAGTTGTGGCGCCTGGGCTTAGCTGTTCCGCGGCATGTGGGATCTTCCTGGACCAGGGATCGAACCCATGACCCCAGCAATGGCAGGCAGATTCGTAACCACTGTGCCACCAGGGAAGTCCCCAACATCAAATGTGAATTTTTATTCTAATCCTTGGAAACACAATGGCTCTGGAAGACTTGCCATGTAAAGTTTATGTTTTCTAGTTAGCTTCAAAGCAGTGGGAAGGAAGCCAAAAAAATCAATCAATAAATAAGAAAAGATTACTTGGGGCATCGAGCAACTAATATGCAGAAAGCTTACCTTTTAACAATGGGCAGCAAAAACTTGAAAAACTTACAACTGTCGATTCTCAAATTTCTGCTTGTGGCTTAAGTCGTTTGTTATTATCATTATTACCTACATTATTATTATTATGAAAGTAACACCCACTCATTGTGTGTATATACGTGAAAGACGGTAAGATCTTCCCCAATTTCCCTACGGCTCCCTCTTGTCTCCTCTGAGAGGTATCCGAATGTTCTAGACGTGTACAGAGGTGTGTGTGAGCATATGTGCATTTTACGTAAATAGTATCATGCTATAATGGTATTCTGCAACTTGATTTTTGCCAACTTCAGCCTATATTGGGAACACTTTTAGGGAATGGATTTATGCTATTCTTTTTTTAAAGCAGCATGAATTCACTTTCATGGACGTCATGTGGTCTATTTTTAGTCCTATATTCTGTCTGCATTTCCAGCCAACTGGAATTTGATTATCAAGGTTTGGGGAGAACGTGACGAGGGGGTTGGCAGGGCTTCCCCGCTGATCCTGAGACCTGGTGCATCCTCTCCCCTTCTCGTCTGTCTGCAGGCAGAGGTGAGAGGACAAGTAAAGAGAAAGGGGGTGCATGGCAATGCAAAGGGAAGGTAGGAGGAGGTTCTGGAAAGCTTGGCTTACGATTAGAATTCCAACTGGCTGCCCAACGAAACCTGAGACACTTTTGGCAATCTGAAATACTTAATGATAAAAAGGTAAAAGAAACCTGGAGCATTACTATGCATCTTCCTGTACTCCGTTTCGCCCCAGTTCAACTTCTTACGATCATATAAAACAAGCTCATTTTAGAAAGAGAAAACTGCTGGAAAAATTACACAGTATGTCCACAGCTAAATATCAATACAAGGGGCTTTATTTTAGAAGCCTGTTGGTGCTGTGTGGTGGTGAAATGTACAAACACCGAGGCCAGCCTACCTGGTTTGACTACTAGGTCTCCCTCATGCTAGTCGTGTGGCCTTGGTTAAGTTATTTCACCTCTCAGGACCTCGGTTTTCTCATCTGTAAAATGAGGAAAATGAAAGTATCTCCCCTTAGGTGGTGTGAGCTGAAATGAGTGTTAGTTTATCAAGCGCTCACAGTGGGGCCTGGCACTCAGTACACACTCCACAGGGCAGAGCTGTTGGGGTCAAGGACTCAGTCCCAGAGTCCAAAAGACCAGCTTAAGAGGTCCAAGATCTTGGATAAGTTACCCTATTTCTCTAAGCCTCAATTTTTTCATCTGCGAGTTGGAATGCTAATAATCTGTACCTTATAAGGCTGTTGGAAATATTGAATGCAATGATGCATGTATACAACGCATGGACTCTCGATCTGCCTCACGGGGCTGCTGGGAAAATCTAGTGCACCGATGCGGGTATAATGTATAACTCGGTACTCACGGGAGGTACGTGGTACATGTCAGCCATCCCTATCGTTACCAAAGGAACCAAACCACCTACAGATTGCCTCATTAGACCAGAGTGTTGGTTTCTCCAGGCCATTGTTGGGGCTCAAACACAGGTGGCCATGGAAGAAAAGAAAGTGAGAGCCACCGAGTTTGAGAGCCTTTGGGGAGGTCTCAGCCTCCCGGGAGGAATGATGGTTTTTCCTCAGCTGGTGTTTGCTGATGTAGACTACAGAGGACCAGGCTCCAGAACCAGCAGCCTGGTTCAAGGCCCGGGTCCCCGTCCCAGGAACTGTGCAAACGAACTCTGGGTAGGTTCTTTCAATTCAGTCTCAGTCTCTTGATCTTAAGTTGAGGACACAAGAGTAGCTGCCTCCCAGGGTTGAGCGTTCAGTGAGCTAATGCATCTGGTGCATAGCAAGTGCTGCATGCTTGTTACCTCCTCCTGCGGGAGCCGTTGACTCTTATCAGCACCCACCTCCAGCTGCTGCAAAATGATAAAGATGAATTCTCCTGTGTGGAGTCCCAGGTTCTCTGCAGCCAGCAGGATAAGTTTTGCATCTTCTGAGCTGCAGATTAAGATAAGAACTGTAAGAGAAGACAGTCAGCCAGTTGCACATGTGTACACACACACACACACACACACACACACACACACAGATACACACGTTTTAAAGTCTAGCCTAAAACCACTAGAAATGAGACATGAACTTTGTCTTTTCTTGAGCATGCTTTAGGAAATAGGAAGGTCTAAACTGTTCCCAGAGCGTGTCCTCCTTTAACCATGCCGGTAGCATACAAACTGGCAGCTTTCGTCTTGCGGAACTAAAGTCTTCGCTGCAGCTCTCTCCCAAAGCACAAATCGAAAAAGTTTGAGACCACTTCTGTGCTCTAGTTTCTTCGTTTAACTGACTCAGAGCAATAGATCTGGCTTGTGACTCATCATCAGGTAGGTTGCGTTGACGGAGGACCTAGAACCAGGAGCATTGAGACTGTCTGAGATGGGATGGGGGGAAAAGGAGTAGGCCATGGTATTTTTCTTCCATCCAAACACATCAGCATGCTTTTTGAGGGAACAAAAATGAAATACTGATTTATTGTTATGTATTTATTTTTAAATTGGAGCATGCTTTTTTTTTGCTTCAGAATTTTTAATTGAGGTATGATAGATTTACAGTGTTGTGTTAGTTTCAGGTGTACAGCAAAGTAATTCAGATATAGATATACATATATATATATATATACACACACACACATATATATATTCTTTTTCAGATTCTTTTCCCTTATAGGTTGTTAAAAATACTGAGTATAGTTCCCTGTGCTATACAATTGGTCCTTGTTGGTTATCTATTTTAGTGATTTATTTATTTATTTTTAATAAATTTATTTATTTAATTTTGGCTGCGCTGGGTCTTCGTTGCTGCTCTGGGGCTTTTCTCTAGTTGCGGTGAGCGGGGGCTACTCTTCGTTGTGGTGCGCGGGCTTCTCATTGCGGTGGCTTCTCTTGTTGTGGAGCAGGGGCTCTAGGCGCGCGGGCTTCAGTAGTTGTGGCTCACAGACTCTAGAGCGCAGGCTCAGTAGTTGTGGCGCATGGGCTTAGTTGCTCCGTGGCATGTGGCGTCTTCCCAGACCAGGGCTTGAACCTGTGTCCCCTGCATTGGCAGGTGGGTTCTTAACTGCTGCGCCACCAGGGAAGTCCTTAGTGACTTATTTTTTGAATGAGATAAATTTTAGTCTATTTACCTGAGCTCGAGCTAGGTGCCAGGCAATGCACTAAGCATAGGATACAACAGTGAGCAAAAGAGAAGGTCCTTGTTCTCAGGGAGCTGACATTAAGACAGACAATATACAAGTGAAGAGATTAGAGAGATCGTTCAAGATTCTGATGAATGAAAGGGGAAAAGAATGCTGTGATACTAATGTGGGGAAGGGGAATCGCTCCATGTCAAGTAGTTGGGAAAGGCCCCTCACAGGAGATGGGATGGGCTCTGGGTTGAGTCTGGAAGGATGAGAGCAAGCTACCTATGGAAAGAACACTGTGTGGGATGAGGTGGGATTGCAGTGGAACTCCAAGCCAAGGGATACCAAGTCCCAAAGTCCCAAAGCCAGAAGGAGCTTGGTTTATTGGAAGAAGAGAAAGGAGTGCGCTACTAATTCCTGCTAGAAAGTAGAGGCTTAGAGGCACCACAACAACAATATTCACTATGGCGTGTTGATCAGTTACTATGTCCAGCACTTTACAGGCATGATCTTATTTAATCCTCACCATTCTATGAGGTAGGTAAGATGATTGTCTTTGTTTTACAGATAAGGTACCTGAGGCACAGAGAGGTTAAGCTACTTGCTCAAGAACACACAGCTAGAAAGTGTCAGAGGCGGGTTTCAAACCTAGGGATGTCTGTCTCCAGAGCCCATTCTCTGAACGAACATCCAAGTCCAAGACCCAGCCCACCTAGCAGGTGCTTCCAGAAATTACTCTGTACATCATGACACTATAGCATCGAAGATTTCACTCTAGACAAAAAAAAAAGTTTTTGTTGGTTGGTAATGCTTTTATGTATCCTTAATTTTATACTCTGTTTTCATCTGCTTTTTACCCTCATAGAAAAATGAAAAATTCTTAGGTTTTTTTTCAATCATTGTTTTCTATTTGCCCCTCTAAACATAAGCAACAGAAGATTCTTTCCTACTTAGCCCTGGAAATCAATGACAGGCTTCTAAGATTCTCTCGAAGGAAGGCTGGACTGTGGTTGGTGTATTTCATGCTGGCGGTGATGGTGAAATGGGATTTGAGTTCATTCCCTACAACCCTCCACAACTCATCCATTCCATCGCAGGAGGAAGTCCCAGAGTGACCTCCAAACATCCCAGTGTGTTTCCAGCCCAGGTACTGGAGGCTTTTCTGGAGCACATCACCAACTCTGTGCATGCGTGGCACAAGTTTCACACAGGTGTCATACAAGAAGTTGTTCTCCAGTTTTGCTGTTTGTCCAACAGAGTCAAACATGGGGGAGCCAGCAAACCAATAACCTTGAAAGTAACCAAAGGGATGTCTTTCCATAATTGAGTTTTGCTACACTCCAGCCCCATTGTAAAATATCTGTATAAACTTTGGATTCGGTGAGTCTATGGGTCATACTTCCCCTCGCTTTTGGAATATTGATGATAACGTCTTGGATGCAACTTAAGGATGTAAAACCTCAGAGCACAAGAGTAACAATAGCCAGCATTTATTTAGTGATTACTGTGTGCCAAGCACTCGACTAAGAGCTTACATATACTATCTCAATTCTTACATTTTCTATCAGGTAGGTATTATCATCTCATCTTAGAGATGAAAACATGGGGGCACAGAAGTGTATTAATAAGTTCCAAAACTAGCAAATAGTGGAGCAGGCTTGGAATTCAGGTAATGTGGTTACAGAGCGCACACTCATAGGTACTACTCGCTTTTTCTTAATTTGTTCCTTATTCGTTTTCCACTAGGAGCCTGCTATCTACAGGGCACTTCAGAGACCTTCCTCTTAAAAAGATCTCGTGATCAACTATTACAGGAGTTAAGACGTGTAAAAAAAGCTGTAGAGTTAAATATGCCCTTCAATATTTATAGACAATAGATTTAGAGGAGCTTAGAGAAGTAAGAAATTACTTCTGATTTGGGAATTAGAGATGTGAACGATGAGGGTAGAGAGATAAAGAAAGGCTCCGTGGCATTTGAGCTTGACTTTGAAGAATGGGTAGGCTTTGTTAATCAAATGGGGAATGTGTCAAATGGGGAATTCTAGGAGACACTAAGATTCAAATTCAAATGTAAACTTAACTCTATAGCACCCACTAATGATAGTTCTGCGGTATTTTTGACCGTGAGAACTGTGCTGCCTCATCTATTCAGGCTTTGCATCTATACCTCTCAGAGCACAAGATACCCAAGGACATCAACAAAGCTAATCTCATTAGCTAAACAAACACAAATCATTCACATCTCTCATTTTCTTGCCTTAGCTTATGGCAATCTGTCATACTTCATCCTTTCCCTCTTTCCTTCCCATCACTGAATAATTTATTATACATGCCAAAGGGAAACCTACACAAACAGATGTTATTTTTCTATTTAAAGCCAAGCATTCAATTTCTTCTTCATTTTTCTGAGCCACGTGGCTGGCAATGTTGGAGTGAATGATGAGTCCATATCTGACAGCACCAAGGCCAAACAATCAACAAGTTTGTTAGTCAACATCAAGTTAGTGAGTGAACTAACAGCAATTGATTTGAGAGGCTTTCTTTAAAGAGAGTATTCATTGTTCTAATTGCATGGTCTAATTACATCTCAAAGAAATGGTACACAAGACTTACACAGTTATTATTTATAATAATGTCATCCAAGTCCAGAGATTATTCAAGTCTATGCCGTCATCTTTAAGACCACCCTTTCCAATGGAAACTCAGAGTTTCTTAGAAGGCTGTATACTCTACCTCTGCTGCTTCTGGGCATGCTGGTCCAAACAGGGCAGAAATTTCTTCTTTCTGGACCTGGTTGATGAAAAGAGCAAGAGACTCCTTGGTGCTGCAGGTTGAGTTGGTGTAAGTAAACTCCCAGCTGAAGTTTCCGAAGTCTGCCAGCTCAGAGTTGATCTTGTCCATGGCAACCTGGAGTCCGGCACCCAGCCTCTGCACATTGAATGGATGGGAGATGTTCCAGGGGGCCTGGAACCCCACAGTGAGTTTAGCAGCCTCAAGCCACGACACCAGGACACTGACAAGGAGCATCAGAACTAAGGTTGGGTGGCCAGCTCGGCATTCAACCCCCAAACAGGGCCCAGATCCGAGTGGGGCCTCAGCACCTGTCCTGGGAGCCATGGATGGAGTCTAACACCTGGATCACTGCAGAACCCTGAGAGGCTTAGCCTCCTGACCACTTGTGCCCAGAGCTTAAATGATAGTGCGCAGTTCCCTGAGGACCACAGCTTGCTTTCTCTTCAGTGCTGTTAATTAACCAAAAACTTCCCTTTCCAGAGTCTGTCCTAACACATCTAGAAGCAGAAATCTGTGCAAGGAGGCTGGGACAGGGAGCCAGCAAGACCCTGGTAATTGATCCAGTGACACCACTGTCAAACTCCATGGTCCTTGGCAAGCCACATAACCCCCACTCCCTCTCCACCCCCCAGATCCCTCTCCACTAGTAAAATAAGAATCATGGGAACCACTCAAGTGTAGACAGATGGCCTAGGCTGGAATTCTGACTCCATCACGTATTAGTGGTGTAACCTAAGACATGTTACTTTCCCTCTCTATTTTTCCCTCTCTAATTTTTTTCAAAAATTAGGCACAACCCCCATGTTCAATAGTAGGGGCCTAGATGAGTAACATGGAGTGAATCCATGTGACTGAGGAGGGCAGTCAATAAAAATGATATATTAAATGTGCACTTACTGACTTAGAAAAATAGTCACAATTATTGAGAGGAGGCACACTTTCAAACGACATGAATAGTATTCCATTTTTTGTTGTGTTTTTAAAAAGCACATAAAGTTGCGTAACAAATATTATACACACCAAACGAATAAAAACTCTGGGCGATAGGAGTTCTGGGTGCTTTTTCTTCTCTGCTTAATTCTCATATTTTTATCTTCATGTCTTTGCAATAAGGAAGAAAAGTGAACGTTTCAATTGAAGATAAACCCTACAGACTTGTATTTGCAGAGTGAAATCACAGGGCGGTAAACTCACGCTGTCTGAATTCCTGGGTCAGGAGCACGTCACGTTGGTCTGGTCCCTCACACTTCTATGCACTTGGCTTATTCTCTGCTGAACTAAGCCCCTTCCATGTCTCCACTGCCCTCAGAGGGAGAGGGAGACAGAGATGCAGGTGGTCTAGGTAATGGCGATCATCGTCTGGAAACCATTGCCATGGTAACAGGCCCACCTACTTTGTACGAAGTGCTTGATTGGCTGGAGTGGCAAGGCCTGAGGTTAAAACCAGGGAGATTGGTAGGGACTGTGGCTGCTGGAGGGGGCACACTGTTCTCCACTTTGCTTCTCCAGCCCTGCTCTCTTCTAGGAGATTCTTATGCCTACAAGTTACCAGTGGTGGTAGATGGGGGAGGCCATGTTGTTTTATCCCACCATGCTTTGGAACAAAAGTAATCTGTGCTTGGCCCCCAGAGATGCAGAGCTTGGTTCCCTATGTTGGCATTTTGATTCCCAGATATGTTATCCCATCTCTGTTTCCTGAAAAGATTATTACAGAGGGAGGATTCTCTTTTCCTAATTTATAGTTTCCTCACTGCTGACCAGCTGGGCCATAAATCAGATATAGGGCCAGCTGTTCAGCATACAAAATCAGATGAGATTAGCTGTATCCAGGGTGATGGGACTAGCTTTTTTCTACCTGTCCTTCCTCCCCTCCCATTTGCCCCTCCCTCCCTTCAATTTGTAAATCTGTGGCCTCATCACGTTTAGAGAAAACGGAAAGGTTTGAAATGATGTGGGTTGGAACTTCTCCGGAAGGTGAAACAGAAACAGGTGTTTGGCTCACTCGGAATACAATAAAATCAGGCTGGAGTTTCCCACCTGGAGGGAAAGACCGAGGGAGAGGCAGCCATCACTTCTGCCCTCACACTTTCTCCCACCTCACGGCGTGTTCTGGGAAGAGGCAACACCCTCAGGCTTCCAGAGTCTACAAGACTGCATCTGAGCCTCCGTTTTCTGATCTGTGAAGTGGGCTGAGGGAATGGCAGAGGGCTGAGACTTCGGACCTTACCAGCTTCTTGCCCTAAAACCCTAGGACCCTGGCGGATTCATAACTAACCAAATACTCCATGCTCAGTGATGGCCGCAGTTTCTTTCCAGGTCTTGCTTACAGGCTCCTAAAGGGAGCCTTCCTGAAGGTCTAGCGTACCTTGTACCAACCATCCTACAAGTAAGCGCAAGTCAAAAGTGGCTATTACCTACCGGGGTACGAACTTCAAACTTCCCCGTCGTGTTCTCAGCACTTGCCAATAGTTGTGATGCAGTCAAGTAAGAAGAATCTCCTGGTAAGTAAATGTCTAAAGAGCCGTAGGAGAGCGGAGTAAAGGTTGAACTTGCGTAAAGGGGAGATTGTGTTTCTTAGATCTGCAACAAAAGGCAATTCCTTGAATCCAAAAGCCACTCCTTTAGGTACGTGTGCGCAGACTACTCCCAGAAAGCCGAGGATGGGGCGCCGGCCTTGGCTTTCTGATGAGGACATGCTGATTGTTTCTGAAAAGGTTGATGGGAGGGAGGAGAATCCTCCCTCCTGGGGATGCTGCCTGTCTCATCTGTACTTCAAACTCTCGCTATTCGTCCTGTGCTACTGAAATAGACTCTTCCTCTGGCCTGTAATGTGTTGCTCTTTCTCGTGCCCATTTTTACCAGGAATGGGTTTTTGATGCCTGAGTGGTTGCTTTTGACAACCTGGAGCTTCTAATCAATACTTTCAAGTTTTCTTCTGGCTACAGATCTAATCGGAAGTTTAGCAGATTGATCCAGCCTAAATGTCAGATTTCCGATCTGAAGATTGATTCTGTGTTTTTTGATTCTGCCTCCCAGATTACTGTCCCCAACCCCTAATTAGCCTTAGCATGAAGAGCAAAACCTTCTAGAAACTAGTAGGGAGGAGGGGCAGCTGTCTGCTCAGTAATCAAGATACTAAATATTTAGCAGTGATGGAATGACTTTCCATAAAATTGTAAGTGTTCCAAGAACACTTTTGTTGTCACAGTGTCCAAACACGGAGCAAATAAAGAATGTGTCCTTGCCTTAACGCATCGTCCTCTGGGGCTTATACACTTTCGACCCATTAAAATGACATGCTTCTCCCTCCAAGCCAATAGGGGACCTGGGTAGCACCAGGCTTGTCATCTGGGTGGCGTCTCTCTGGTGCGTAGCCATATAAAGCCATGCAGGATGTCCCTCTGGCTCCTCCACCCTTTTCAGCTTCTGGTCTACAGAGACCAGTACCCCTCCCACTTCCTGGCGTTTCCGCTCTGCTCGTGTTAAAAGCTCCCAAATTGCTCCCTAGCCAGGCACTCAGTGATGTTCCCCCACGTTGCGAGCCCAGGGAACCAAGGCTGCAAAGCAGAGGACGATGTTCTTAAAGGCTTGGCAAGGGGGGAGGTGTGAGCATGGCACCCCCAAAGTACTGATGCTCCTGTCTGAAATTTCTCCCACACTCCCCTGTAAGAGGCAGCGTAGCAGAAGGGTGGGGTGCACAGATTTGGAATGAGACTGAAGCTGTGGCTGGGACAAGTTTTCACACAGCATAGTGCCTGGCCCGGAACAAGTCAGTGAACAGTAGCAGTTCTATAATAAGGAACTATTGCTTCCGTCAAGAAGATCATGACCTCTGTTGAATGGAGGTATATAAACCCAAAGGAACAAACTGTTACTGCTTCAGAACCCGGAGGAACAGGACAAAGACCCCATTGTTTTCAAGTTCACCCAGAGCAGTTATAACATGCTGACACTGGGTAACACCACCTTTCACGTGTGTCCTATAGGCATTAAGACAGAGGATCTTTGGTCTAAATCAGTGTTGTCCATGAAAAATAGAGTGTGAGCCACTTAGGTAATGTTAAAATTCCCAGCAGACAGATTTGAAGATTAAAAAAAACAAGTAGAAATACTTAGCTAGTTTATCTGAAATATTATCATTTCAACATGTAATCCATATTTTAAAAATTGAGAGTTTATGTCATTCTCTTCATACTAAGTCTCCAAAATTTGGCATGTGCTTTTTTTCTGTTTTTTGTTTTGTTTTGTTTTGTTTTGTTTTGCAGTACGCGGGCCTCTCACTGTTGTGGCCTCTCCCGTTGCGGAGCACAGGCTCCGGACGCGCAGGCTCAGCGGCCATGGCTCACGGGCCCAACCGCTCCGCAGCATGTGGGATCTTCCCGGACCGGGGCACAAACTCGTGTCCCCTGCATTAGCAGGCAGACTCTAAACCACTGCGCCACCAGGGAAGCCCTGGCATGTGTTTTGTACTTAAACACGTCTTAGTGCAGACTTTCTTCATTTCAAGTGCTCAGTTGCTACATGTAGCTACTGGTCACAGTATTGGACAGCGTACGTCTAAATCTTTGCTCTGAGCTACGCTTCTAACCAGCTGGGAAATAGTGATGTTTCCTATGGGGTTGAAAGTTCTGGGAATTTAGAGCTGCCGCCTCTCTGAGGACCTTCACCCTTTCCATCTGATTCTTAAATGTTCTTGGGATGCTCTTGCTGATAAAGGTGCAAGTTGCCTGTGTCGCTGCGTTGCAACCTCGTTGACATCGTGACCCTGAGAATAATAATATTTATATGACACACTGAATGCCCTAGGTGGGGCTGGCCGTGAGCACACCCAGCACAGTGAGGGCTGAGGCATCAGTATGTCTTGGCCCACCAGTGTCCCATGGCTCGCCAGTTGGGAAGGTCAGATCCAAGCCTGTAAGGCAATCTGCTCTATGAGTGTTATCTGGGGGAGGGGAGGCACAGGGGGAGTATCTGGGGTTGAGGGAAGCTGTTTATTGCAATCTGTGCAAACACCATTCTTGTCAATCAAGTGCTCATGCTTAAGTAACACTTCCTTCCCACAAAGAATGAGCAAGTGGCCTCAAGAGCTCAGGTGCCCAGGCTGTTACTGTCAGCGGCCCGAGTTGAGCAAAACAAGCTGCTGCAGACACTGAGCTGTGGGGCCAGCTTCTGCCGTGTGGCTAACACGGGGGCCTAGAATAGCACGGTGGCTGCTCCCAGCACAGCAGACAACAAAGCAGAAAGAGCTGGGGATCGCACAGCTGAAAGATGCGGTACACTGCCTCCCCCGCCCCACAGCCCGCCTTCGACTGCGGGAAGCAAGG